CATTTATAAAAGGAGAACTCCTACAGTCTATCAAAAGCTGAAACTCTAACCTGTTCTTTGTGGATTTCACTCTAGACTGCCACAATAGTCTTTTTTTATTTTGTCAATCCTTACCCGAAGATATTTTTCCCATCGATTTTTAGAGAGAATGGAAGGAAGGACAGGAGAGAGAGAGAGAGAGAAACATTGATGTGAGAAACACACATCGATTGGTTGCCTCCCACATGAGCCCCAACTGAGGCTGGGGATCGAACCTGCAACCCAGGTACATGCCCTTGACTGGAAATCAAACCCGAGACCCTTCGGTGCAGGGGCCAGCACTCTAACCACTGAGCCACACCAGCCAGGGCACCACAATAGTCATTCCGATTTTTGTACTTTAAATACTAGATTGTGGTTGTATTCCTAAATCCTTTGTTGTTGGTGGTTGTTTTTTTTTTTTAGCTATTCCCAATCATCAAGACTTATGTATAAATTTCCATTGCTTAATATCAAAGCCAAGAGACTCTATTTTCATTCCTCAACTCTTTTTAATAGACCTTAAAAGTCAGAAGCATTTATATGCATGCTGAAATGTATCATGCTTTATTGTAAGCAAAAGAATGTCATCTATTTGCCAAACGATACCATTAGCCTGTTGCATCTTCAGTTTACCATTCTTTCAGCATCCTTCTGGGATTCCCCAAGCCCTTTTTTCCCCTTAAGCTTAAACTTAAGATGAAAATCTTCCCCTGCAGATGACTGAGCCATGTTCACATAGCACCTGATTGCATTGGGTCTCCTACTAATTTATAAAATTTCCCCTCTACTCACATTAGGAATGAAACGCCTTTAATGCTTCTATAAATACCATCATATGAACTGATTGAGATCTTCAGAGGTGAGAAATATTCATTCACTTCTAATTACTTGAATTAATGTCAATGTTCAGTGCTTCAAAAGCCTACTAATTTCAGTGCCATTTCCTTCTTTAGGGTTTAGCAGCTGCTTTGTGGAGGGAGACAAATGCAATATATTCTAGGGAAACGTGGTTTTACATCACACTCAAGAATAGAGGCACTTCTCTCTGTATGTAATACACTGCATTTCTTTTGGTGCATTCGAAATTTCATCTGGCCTTCAACAGTTTTACTTCAGCATAAACTTGGCTGTGTTGATTTTACTTGGTGTTCATTTAGCATTCAGTACCTGCAGATATTGCCCCATTCCCTTTCTTTTCTCCATCTGGTATTCTATTTGTGTGTGTTGGCTTGTTAGATATCATGTAGTAGATCTCTGAGGCTCTGTTAATTTTTTTAAATATTAAAAAAATTCTCTCTCTCTCCCACTTCACAAGGGAGTGGGAGAGAGAGAGAAACATCAACGATGAGAGTCATTGATTGGCTGCCTCCTGCACACCCCCTGCTGGGTCTGGAGCCAGAAACCCAGGCCTGGCCCCTGACTAGGAATCGCACTGTAACCTCCTGGTTCATCCTTGGACGCTCAGCCACTGAGCCACTCCACAGGGGTGTTCATATTTTTAGAAATCATTTTTCTCTGTGTTGTTCACCTTGGATGATTATTATTGCTCTACCTTAAAGTTCACTTTTACCTCCTCTGTAATTTGGCTGTTAAATCCACCCAGTAAAATTTTTTATTTCTGAAATTTTAATTTTCAATCCTAGAATTTTTTTCTCTCTCTCTCTGCTGAGTTTTTCTATTTGTCTCCTGAGATTTTCATTCACTGAAAACACATTTTATTTTAGCTCATTGAGGATAGTTATAATAGCTACTTTCAAATCCTCATCTGTCATTTTCGACATCTGATTCATCTTAGGGTTGGATGCTAGAAAATGTGATCTATTTTTTTGATTTTGATGTCAGTAATTTTGAATCATATCTTGGACTTTATGCATGATAAGTTGTGGAGGTTTTGGATTCTATTATTTTTCTATGATGAGTGTTATTTCCTATGTATTGATAGGTAATTTTCCCAGCTGGATTTTAACTGCAAACTCTTTATTAGAGGACCGCTCTGGTTGCAGTTCAGATCATCTGTTTTTAACTGAACTGCTATGATTCTGTTTCAGGTGGTTCAGGATCTATCAGAGACCTGAGCAGAGCGAGTCTGGGGATAACCTCTCTGGCTTCTTCCCTTCTGGGATTTCCATATATCATATGCATTCAAATTTCCTACCTTCCTTTTCCACGTGAACCCTTGCTGACGCTGAGCCTGCCTCCTGCACTGCACTGAGCCTTAACCTAAATGCCAAGGAAAGGGGAACTTTCTTGTATAGCTCATCTGCCCGCCTCCAAACAAGTTACCCTACCTACCAAAGTCAGCCCGCTCCTGTTTGCATTCCAGTATATTTAGGCAGTTGCTTTTTGTGGGATGTCCAAGTTTTACAGATGTTTCCTACTGGGAGGTAGTCCAGTAGGGTCTTTGTAATATTTGGACTCAGAAGTTCTATCTCTATCTGGAACCTTCAATCTTGAGAGTCATTTCTGGCAGTAGCTTCCTAACGAGTCCCTGCATCGACCCTTGCCCCCTAAGGTCTATTCTCAACACATGAGCCAGAGGGATGCTATTAAAAGTTAACAGCAGCTTCCAGTGTCTCCCCATTTCACGCACAGTAAATCCATACATGCTTACAATGCCCCACCCTGCCTGTTTGAAACGCCTCAGCCTTGGCTTCCCGGCCACATGTTGATGCTGGTTTGCATCCTACTTTTCCGACCACTCATTCAACAAACTCTCGTTTACTCTCGCTCCTCTAATCCCCAAAGGTGAGTCCACGCTAACAATGGGGTCCTTGCGCGCTCTGGTCTTTCTTCTTCCCACTTTTCCCCACGTCCACGCTTCCCAGGAACTGGAGGCCTGGGCCCCATGGTGGAGGCCAAGGGGCCGTATGCGCTCCCTGCTTTCTCAGGAGCAGCCAACAGCGCCGATGTAAAGCAGCTTCTTCCCTCTGGTATCTGCGCGGGTTTGAATGAACGCGGAGCAAAACCCGAGCGCGGGCGCGCAGGTTCCAGCCACCTTGGTTGGAAGGAGGGGCTGGTCTAACTTGGCTCCGGGGGGAGCCCCTCC